ATGAGAAAAAGATGGGCCTATCATTTAAGTACATATACAACCTCTCCTATAGTTTTTGTAAACAGAATCACATATAATTTAGACCCCAACCTATAACCTAAATATCAGGGACCTTGCCAGATGGACCAATAAAGTTATTTTAGGATGTAGGTTTGATGAAATGTGAAGCATGTGCGTGCATGTTTTAGAGATAGAGATTGATGAAACAGAATTATCGCTAAAGTAATTGTCATTTTCAGTTTAAATTTCATACACACACACACATGCATTGAAAGTTATTTGCAGGTAATGCATGCTTGTAATCCCAGCAACTCCAGAGGCTGAGGCAGGAGAATTGCTTGAACTCAGGAGGCGGAGGTTGCAGTGAGCCGAGATTGTGCCACTGCACTCCAGCCTGGGTGACAGAGTGAGACTCCATCTCAAAAAAAAAAAAAAAAGTTTTTTAAAAAGTTCTCATTGCAGAGTCTTTGGCCTGTATCCTAAATGACCACAGGTGGCCTTCCAAAGGTAGCAGTTCTCATGTTTATGTCCTTTTTTTTGAAATTGAGTTGAGAACCCTCCAGACTTCTGGAAACAACTCACCACTCTTCCATACCCTGATGATTTCTGGGTTATCACTCTTGTGAAATGCGAGCTTGGAGGTGGAGGGGTCCTATGTAGTCATCTGCCTCTTGATCCGTACAGTTCTCTTTGAAAGCCCACGTGTTTTAAGTAGCTAAAATGTGAATTTCATGAGAAAAAGATGGGCCTATCATTTAAGTACATATACAACCTCTCCTATAGTTTTTGTAAACAGAATCACATATAATTTAGACCCCAACCTATAACCTAAATATCAGGGACCTTGCCAGATGGACCAATAAAGTTATTTTAGGATGTAGGTTTGATGAAATGTGAAGCATGTGCGTGCATGTTTTAGAGATAGAGATTGATGAAACAGAATTATCGCTAAAGTAATTGTCATTTTCAGTTTAAATTTCATACACACACACACATGCATTGAAAGTTATTTGCAGGTAATCACTTTGGGTAAGTTTTGAATCTCAAGCCACTTCTTGTCTTCTCCCTTGAATGATGTTTCTCAAAATGTGTTCTATGAGCCAGATGTGTTGGTTCATCGCTATAATTCTAGCACTCTGTTAGGCTGAGGCGGGAGGATCCCTTGAGCCAAGGAGTTCAAGACCAGCATGGCCAATATATCAAAACCCTGTCTCTACAAAAAAAATTTTTTTTTTCCAGAGAGTCTCACTCTGTCACCCAGACTGGAGTGCAGTGGCATGATCTTGGCTCACTGCAACCTTTGCCTCCTGGGTTCAAGCAATTCTCCTGTCTCAGCCTCCTGAGTAGTTGGGACTACAGGTGCCCGCCACCATGTGTGGCTAATTTTTGAATTTTTAGTGGAGACAGGGTTTCACCATATTGGTCAGACTGATCTCGAACTCCTGACCTCAGGTGATCCGGCCCCCTTCGGCTTCCCAAATTGTTTTGTTTCCTTGGTTGGGCCCCCCGGCCGGGCCAAAAAAAATGTTTTTAATTAGCTGGGCATGGTGGCGATCACCTTAGGTCCCAGCTAGCTGATCAGGAGGCTAAGTTGAAAGCATCACTTGAGCCCAGGAGGCTGAGCCTGCAGTAAGCTGTGATTGCGCCACTACACTCCAGCCTGGGTGACAGAGTGAGATATTGTCTAAAAAAAAAAAAAAAAATTTGGTCTGTGAATCATCTATAACAGAATCACTTCAGGAGTTTGTTAAAAATGTAGATTCCTGAGCCCTAGCTCAGAC